TATTTCAATGCACTTAGCTTCTTACGGAAAATTTTTGTTTATAACTCCGACTCACATCAACTCCCTCATAAAGAAGTTGAAAACTCAGTTCAGTAAACTCTTTCAAAGCAAACAGCGACATTTCTTACGCAGAAGTGAGTTGTTAGAAGCGAGTCTTTGTCAGGTATACAAAGACGCCCCAGTCTCCAGACACTTCAGTCGAGAGACGGGGGTGGCGAGAGATAAGGGTGGTGGCGGGGGTGATTAGATTTACGGCGAATAAATTAATGCGAGGAAGTGAAACCAATTTGAGACATTCACCCCCGCTACCCTTAGCTACTTGACTTTCTGTTGCTGCTGTCAGGGTCGGGGATATTAGTGGATTTTAGGGGCCTACTTTGTAGTATAGCTTAAACTTGTTAAGTGTATTTCGTGAAACCTCAATAATTTTAGTTAAATATTTATTAACCTAAATCATCAAATTTATCGGGAAATCAGTTATTGTTAGCGTTGTAAGTGTTTAGGAAGATAACTTCGAAAGATTACATTATTAGGCATTATTAGATCATAGGGTTATTTAGATATCCCGATATAGATCTTATGGTGAGTTGGCGGCTAATTTGGAAGTGCCTAGGCGATGTCGTGGGTTTGAATCTGACCTACCATTAATTTGTATCAGGAGAGTTTACCCTTGTTCTGTACCGAATCACCTTTTGCGTTTCTACGGCACCCACAGGTCGATAGCATATAAGAACGCGCAAATGAAAGGTTAAAGGTTGCCAGCTCCTTTAAAAAATACCCCCGCTGCAGCAAACCTGCCGACAGCGATACCAATCCAAACCTTAGTAAAATTATGTTTATTACATATAGTAATCTAAGATGACATTTTAGTCAATAGCTTTTTGACGAATCAAAAGTAGACTCAACTGTACTTGGTAATCGGGCTGTAAAAAAATTACTTAATTCGTAGTAATATAACATGCAACTTCTTCTAACTAACCTAGGTTAACTTGCGTCAAGTTGTTTTGCCTAGTGTTATCAGCCTTGTTCGGCATATCCCTGAATGTAGCTATTCTATTTACAAACTATTTGATAACCAAATTTAACTGACACCTGCATGACTGCAAGGCAGTATTTATAAATGAAAGATCCAAAAGACCTGCAGTACCTGACTTAATATTTGTTTACACATAATGAGAGTGCTTTAATTTCAAATAAAAAAAACAGCATAGTTCACTATAGTTAAAGCCAATAATAAAAAATCAACGGAAAAGGGGGAATATTAACTTAAATATAGCCTAAGGTAACGCAAAAAATAAATATTACCGGAAACAGGAGTGAAGGTGGTTCCATATCCGGTCCATAGCTGGAATCCCCGCCACAAAGGGCTGGTGATGCAATTATGCAGATTTCCCGTGAACCTGTCACATCCGGTAACCCTACTTCCGGAATCTGAGTAATATCCAGCCGGGATTATCACACTTGGTTGGCAAAGAATCCTATCATACAAGAATATTAGGTAGGCATTTATATCTATTATTCGATTTAAATAAACAGTGTAAACTAAATTTCATTGATAAGTCACATTTTTTCTATAAATTACCAACCGATTTTCCCGTGCTTGGCAACGGGAAGAGGGTTCGAAAGGTAGTAGTGTGATCCTTTAAATCTGCTGAATGAAAAAGCTACGCAGAAATAATTTTATTTAACAATTCTTAACTTTACCGCTTTGTTTGTTGAAATTATTTTATTTTAATCGAGGTAAATAGTTTGAATTTAGAGGAAACTTAGTACGGGGTATGAGAGGTGCTGATGTGTGTTTAAAATACTGTTGCAATAGTATTTAATTTGACAAGATACGATTCTTTAAAAGTAAATTTAATAGAAGTAAACAAGTACAACATACCTTAAGTGTTGCAACAAAACCAATAATAAACTTATGTTAATTTTACAGATAAGGATGTTTACCTCAATTCTTTAATGTTAGTCTAGCCTTTGTATCTGTAAGCCTAATGTATACATTTCTCTGAATAGAGGCCTATAATCAAATAAAAAAACATAAAAAATGTACTAATTTTTGTTTATGAAACATAGCCCACATATCAAACAATACACAAATCTTTAAATTGGTTACAAAACACGTAACGTAGCATGTTCAACCCGCTATCTCATAGTATAATGATAATAAAACATTATCATAAGAAGAACATGGCAACTTTTGAAACCAGTGGTGGGGCAAAGGCTTAGGAGGGTTTAACACTCTATGTTCGTTTGTTATATTTGCTCTATTCATGCAAAATTTCAACTCAATTAGTCTAATAGTTTTCACGTGGTGGACCGTGGCATAGAAACATCCAAACTGTTCTTATTTATATAATTAACAAGATAAGATGTCAAAAGATAAGCTTAGTGCTAATACATAAATAAGTAGGTTCTAGGATTAATCTAAACTAATGTTTTAACATCTCTCTCTTTCATTTGAGTTTTAATTGGGAGCTTGGTTGATAAGATTACCTGGGATTCAAGAATGCGTTTGAGACTTGTAACACTTGTACAATTAGTAAATATTTGTGGGAAAATCTAAAGCACTGAATAATACTTCACCTTGTTATCCTTATTTTTACCCTAAGGATAGATAAATTTAAGCACTAATAAATAATATTTTGGTCCTTAAAAATACCTAATCAACATCAACAATAAAGTGTGTAATGTACTTTTATTAAACCCAACATTTTTAGAAAAAGCTTACCCCAAATTGTTAGAGGAAATCGTTTATAACATTTTTTCTAAAAATGCGCATTTTAATACCTCCTACTTGCTGTCTTAACCCATTTTATCTAGTTTTTTTTTTACTTCTTATTGACCGTTTTTCTGTAATACAAGCTAACAACAATAAAAGAAATCTGGCAAAGGTACTCTCATTGTTGGAATATGTGAACACAAGTCTGTTTTATCATAAAATATACATGTAGTGCTCTCTCCATCTATTCAAAAACATGTCTTTTCGAACATAATGAAAGTGTAATATATATGCTAATGACCAAGAACCTTGCAATGCATTTTGAACTCTTACTTGGATCTTTTTTAAAGATACAGTCTCTATCTCCATTTCCACACGTCCTGTACGTGAGTCTCATTATTCATGGTATATTTTTCTGTTATGTTTGTGTAAGACTTTAATGTGAAAATATCAAACCCGACATGTAAAAAAATTGATATTGGCGTCACAATGTGTTTGAAAAAGCTTATAAAATTATAAACTATTTGTTTAATTCGCACGTTCATCAATCTAAATTGTGTTTAGAATACTAAAAAGATAATGTAATCATTTTATTAAGTAGAAAAAATATTTTGCAAAAGTATTAAAAAAGATGATTAGTGATTAAAAAGGTGATTAGATGGTGGGAGTAACATTTTAGTGAAATATGTTTGTTCCTGATTTAGGTCAGGTGTTTAAGTATAGCTCTTTAATAGGCCAATTAATCGATCAAGGTCAAGTGGATCATTTTTTTACAAACCAAAAGGTGAATGATACAAAATCAAATCGGTTACTTTCTAATTGTCCGGTGAACTTAAATTTTAGGTCTTTTAACATAGGACCTAGTCATAGAAGCCTTACTGCAGCTAATATCTGGGTATAAACAAGATGAAAACTCACGGGATTACGTTTAATATATGTATTATGATCCAAGCAATGTTGTTAAGTTTTAGATTTTAAGCATAGCTTCACAATCTAACGTTAAGTGTAGGCATTTGACCTACATTTTAAATGTATGACCATTTTTTAAGAGTATGGAATTATGTCCTATTATGATTAGAAGTTTAAGATAACGTTATTGTTGATGTTTCTTATATGTTAATTTTACTCATATTCAAAGTCACTTGGTGTATGGAATTGTTGTTTGATGTTTTGATAATCATATAAAAAGTGTCTGTGTTACAAAAGATAATGAAGAAAGTGATGTGTAATTTTATAGGAGAATCCATTGTAAGCCACGATGTTTTTAAATATATTTTTTAACTTGTTGCTTTATATTAAATAAAATGTAGATGCAATCCCCTCAGTTGGTTTTGTTCATAACCCTTTCACAAGAAAGTTTTTTTTTCTTTGAAAATCTATGTAATTATAGAGCGACTATGAATCCAAATTTGAAATGGGCAAAAACTACCTACACTAATAAACTACACCAAAAATAAACTTACTACCTTACAGTATTTAAGTCATCAGAAGATAGGAAATGTAAAGTTTGTATAGAATCAAACAACGAATCAAATGGAATCAAATCTGTCAGAGATTTGTGTGTGTAAAGTAGATGATTTGGTGAACTATTCATCGCTTCGCCCCTAGTAAGTAACCTAGTATGTAATCTTTAATAAAGTAGTAGGCCTGTTATGGTAAAATATTCTTTTTTTGAAACGGCAATTTAAACTATAAACAATGTTAATGCAGTATTTAACATTTATCGATCCCGCTCTAGAGCGGCAATGAGCTGTTTTGCGTTATGTTTACAAGTATTGTAAAGTGATCATTTTCGCGCAGTGTTAGGAAAACGACGTTTCCTACATCCTTATCAAGTTTCAACCCTACAATGTGTTACCACCTTTTAACACCACAAAACCCCATATTCAAATCCCGGCCACAAATTTCGGCGTTGGGCTCAGAAATTATAAATCAGCGGTGACACGTCTTCGGGAAAATATTTCATCGAAAAGTACTGAGAAAAGGAAGAAAAATACACCTTAATAGGCTTACCTGACCACTTCTAGATAAGTAGACGCCTTCGAGACAATGCCGCGATGTGATTGGTTGTTGGCGCGCAGCTCAGCTGTGGTTGGTGGGGGCGGTATTGTAGGGTGGTTAGCGTCGCGGCGTCGTCAGTGCCTGGCCCGCCGTCGCGACGTGCACACTGTGACGTTCTGTACTCCAAAACACGGTAGATTACGTATTCAGGAAAAGTTAGAAAATCAAAATTAGCTATTATATTACAGGTATTACTTACTGAATTTTCTGTTTGGTTCAGTGCTGTGACATGTTTGCCGAGATCCAAAGAGCTACTTCAGGGGCTGTGTTATGTTTTCTTCTTCTTGCCGGGACCCTTGCGGCTACAAATGTTCAAGGTAATTACTTACTTAAGTTTTACGTACGTCTGAACTGTTTGAAAGCTGTTCTAAAGTAAATTAAAGTAAGTTCAAGTCACTGTAAATACTTTTACTAACTTTGTTTTGGTACTTGTTTCAAATTGTTGTGATGAATCAAGTATTTGTACTATTGTCAATTACCTAATATTTTTACTGGTATGGCATGTTAAGAAACCTTGTATACTATGGTTACAACTTATTATTTAACATATTTTAATTACTCAGTAAAAACACATCCAACTTAGAACTGTCGCAAAACTTTGGCATTGGAAGATTCGTGCTAACTTGTGACATATATTTAGACAGACATTTTTTTTATAAACACCATCGTACGTTGCGAATTGCAAAGACCTGTCTACGATTCAGTTTTATCAAACATTGTGTTTGTCCATATCGCAACAGACAAACTTCTATCAAACGTGTTTTACATACTTTTATTGGACTGCAGGAGATGACATTATAAAATATTTTTTTAAAGAAGATTTTTTTAGACGAATTTTTAAAGATTTCGTAAACTTCACAAGCAAATCATATCAAGGTGAAAACAAAAAACATTGGCGAACAAGGGATTTTAAGGCGTTTAATCCATCTATACTAAAAATATAAATTGATGTGAGTCGTATCAAATTTTCTCTGAAATTTCGGAAAAAAGTTTAAAAAAATGAATTACTATCAAGAATATATAAGTCCAAAAATAGAAAATTGTTTGAATGGTTTATGTTGTTCTTAAGTCAGATTTAAAAACATATGGCTTTTCCACATAGACAAAATATCCAGATTCCTCTGTTTTTCTTCTTCAAAATTTCCAGAATCAAGTTTAAGTTTTAAGTAGGAAGAAGAGTTTTTATTTATGCAAGAATCGTGTAGGTGTATCATATCTAAAACCTTATTTATAGGTATAACCACGTTTTATCATAACCGTCTTTAAAAAATATATTAATTCAAAATATGTATTGAAAGTAACCAGTTACTGTTTCAGCTTCATTTAAGTCATTGATGATATTAGGAAATATCTCACTAATTTGTAATTTGCCCTTTCTTAAAATAAAAAAAAGTATTTAGGTCACGCAAAAAACTTCTGGATATTTTACTTTTAAAAAACTTTTGCACATAATACGAGTTAATTTTTTATATTAATTTTGGTAAGATTAATACCGATAGATATATATTTTTTTAAATTCAGACGCAGCCCTTAATTTGTAGTATTAGACTTAACCTTTAAAATCTAGGGCAGACACACCCATAAACTTCAAGATGGCGGACGCCTGACGTGAGCTTTTTGCGCAATCAGGAAATTGAATATTCCATAAGCGTGTACTCATGACATAAATTTATTTTTTACTTGTAGAATACTTAAGTGTAGACTTAAGTTGATCAGATTTGAGATTATAACTGAAATATGAAAATAACTTCTGAAACGTCTTTGCGTTCGTTCAGAAAGTTTCGTCGTATATATATCGACCAATTAATACGTCTTTATTTATTGGACGTATACTTGTTGTTTATATTTGTGTACAATAATCATCAACAATATTTGATACTTTCTTCATAATGCTAAATACTGTCAGCTGTTGTAACACATTTCTTAGGCTGGAAGACTTGACCTCACATTAAAGGCAATCTGATAAAGGTTGTACAATTTAGATTTCAAGTAATGTTTCAATAGGCTTATTTATCTAGATATACTTGACTGGCAAAATATTTTGGATACATCTGTCATAAGATAGTTACGGATGAACCTATAGTTAAATCGCTGATGTGTTGAAAGAGAGACATAAAAGATTGTAGAGATGTAAGAGAGATGTAATTCATACTACTGAGCTTATTGTGATAATATCAAAACAAAGAGGCCATACTGTCACTTTTTATGTACAAAAGTCTTTCTTTTGTATTAGAAAGATATTATGTCTTTAATGAAGACCATTAAAAATAGTTTTATAAGAAGCAAGAAGCAAACATAACGTATTATTATAGTTTTGTTGCCCGTAACAAGCATAGAGTTTAATCAAATTAACACAATAAATAAATATATAAATAAGTAAACAATGCCACAACAAAACCATACTAAATACTAGTCCTTAACAATCTTAAAATAATCTATATAAAACAGTTGAGGATCTACTATTCGATCCCGAGTCTGAAGCCATGTTATTATTCATATCAACAGTATTAGTGGTTTAGGTAAATAAAAACATTTCCAAACAAACGAACTTGAATTAGTTTTTGTGCTAATCTCGTTCTATTAGTGAAATTATGTTCAAGGTAAATGAAAGCGAGGAAACTTATACAATTTGTTATTGCATGATCATGTTTAAGCTGTAATATCTCAAAAATTCGACTATTCGAAACTAGTTCAAAGCGAAATTTCAAACGATTACGGTCAAATTAATCAAAGGCAAATTTAATTGTTCATAAATAATAAAATAAAGAGTGGTTGGATTTTTTTTATTAATAGAATTTTTACACTTATAATTTATTTGCGTACATCTTTCCTTGTGAACATATATATTATTTTATATATAAATATATATACATGTACAGAAGGACATAATTTACCTTTGTTTTTAGAGGAAGACGTATGAAATAAAGGTATATATAAAAATCAAAAGTCATATTTATCAAATTCTTACAAGATAAAAAAAGAAATCTACAATTCCGTTATTAAGAAAACCATGTACTGGTACTCAAACAGACGATTTAAAATGTAAGGGAAGTTCACAAATTTGAGTTCTATGACAATTAGGAAGGAGATTACTCTGTTGTAAATACATCAATATCAAACTTATACTGTGACACTAAAGCTGTTTTTACGGAATAAATACTCTAAAATATATATTTTAAATCCAAATAATTGTTATTGTTCAGGCCATCTATAAAATGTACATCTATATAAATACTAAAATAAATACATAAATACTTATTCAAACTAATTGTTATGCTATCTGTGTATATATCAGATAGGGTAGGAACCCTTGAATGTTAAAAATCATTTAAGGTTATGTTTAAAGTGGATTTTTAAATGCATAAATTATCTTTAAACTTTTTATTTAATTAATATTGCATGTAATGTTTGTATATTGTTTTGGTATTAATTTACCAAGTATTTATTAATAATAAACAACACGCCTATTTACCGTATGATTCGTAAGCGACCTATCAAAGATGTCTACTTAAATAATGTTATTAAATTAGAATGACCGTGATTAAATTGAATATTCTTTATTGCGCTGGGTCTAAAAATTAAACAGCTTACATCCGATTACTTCAGTAAATACATAACTAGTTCGGCGTAGATAAACTGCAACCCTACATTTGTTTCTGCATTGACTATCGTTTTAAATAGTAGTTTTATTTGCATATAATTGTTTACATGCAGCCTATAATAATGAACATATTTAGATTATAAACTTGTCTGTGAGGTTAGAGACACCAGTTCTTGATCGACGAAAAAATCTACTATAACAAAGTCAAACACCACAGTATTTGTTAGGGGTTGTTACAAGGTAGTCGACGGGATCACATAAACTTTAAAGAGAAGTCAATAAACGGTTAATTGGTAAAATACAAATGAATTTTAGACAAAAAACTTTTTCAATACATAGTTTTCTTGCCTAAGGGAATTTTATTTAACATATACTGTATACTTATACATACAATATACAACAACAATAATATATTATATGTAATATTAATGTGTAATGATAAACATATAATAGATCCTTATTGTGTGTCCATAATCAGGTGATGGACTCTAAAGCAGTCCCAAACTATATACTGTAGTAGTGTACTTATGAAAAAACTAGTATCACTTTACGAAGTCGGGTTATTTTGCTAAAACGTTCACTAACGACGTAACATTTTCACAAACACGATTCCAACACTTTGTCCCATTTTCAGTCACAAGTTAGGTGATAACAGCACGGAGGAAGAGTAATAGGACCGATTTCCAAAACTAATTGTTGCAGTCTTCGAACAAATGTTGTTTTAAGGTTGGTGATAAAACTAATTTATTGCGGACGGCGCTGAACCAGATGACTCGGGGACATATGGTGTGCATACGTACACACACACACGCACACACACACAACACGTGTCGACTAATATCTCTGCGCCGCACTGGTTTAATATGAGGCGCGTTCAGCATATATAGGGTGATCTCTGCAGAATACACCTCTGAGGCATGGAGATTGATTTTACATAGAAAAATACGCTATATTAGTTTAGTGAAAAAATATTTATTAACATGTTGGGAATGCTTAAACTTATATATTATTTATTATTGCTGGATTGTAGAACAGTTAAAATGCTAGTCTAAGAATCATAGCCACAGTTTAAATAATCAGTAGCTTTTTATGGTGTGAAATTATTACCAATGGGAGGTATTCCTAGCTAAAGATACCACTGAATTTAGTCTGTTATCAGGTATCCAGATTATTTAATGTATTATTTTGCATATCTTGCATTCATAATCCACTCAAATACGTACAAAATGTACGTTTAGTTTTGATGAAAAGTCTAGGTGATTTAAGGTTTTTACTTAGAATGTATGTGTACTGTATATGTCCAAACATATTAGTTAAACACATTACATAAGTTTCTGACGAGTGTGCTACGACTAAGATTACCATCTTTGTTTTAGACCAAGTTCAGTCGGTTTCTTTGGCCAGAACTATTTGTCTTATGATATTTGGATCCAGGTCTAAACATAAAAAATCAAATAAACAAGATACACCAAAAATCGGTCGTGTTACTAGCCATCATATATTTTTCTTGTTCTGTATATGGTCACCAAAAACTTGTATAAAAATCACTCAGATGGTTTGATAACAAAGGCAGCGTGATACAAAATATATATAAACCGATTAGTTGACAATAAAAATATCTTAAAGGTTAACATCCATACCAAAATACGAGGGTACTTTGTTTAAGGCGGAAAAGGATGGGTTTTTAATGCACCTTTTTAACTGACTAAGATTAAC